ATTGTTTTTCTAGACGTTCACTTGAAAAAACTGCAGTGGAATGCAGTAAGCCATTTTGGATGACATGAATGCATAGTTTCTTAGTGGATGCCCTCTGAGGTGTTTTGCTAATTCAGCTGCTAATGAAAATGTGATAGAAATGAAAGACAAAATATATGAGATGTCATTTAGGCCAGCGGTTTTCAATGTGTAGTGTCTGGATTTTGGACTTCAAGTATCAGCCTCACCTGAGAACTTGTTAGAAATGCAAATTCTTGTCCCTTCTCACCCTATCTTTTGAATCAAAAACTCTGGGCATGGGACTCAACAATCTGTTTTAAGAAACTCTCCAGTTGATTCCAATGTATGTTCAAGATCAAGATTTACTAGTTTAAGCCTTCTGTGAGGTTCATAATATTGTCAGCTCAGATGCCTCTCATAATCTAACTTTATAGGGTCAGTGCTTATATCCATGCTTACAAAATTAGGCATTTCAGTCTTGTTTTAAGCAAAATTCATCTTTAGCATTTTAATCACCTCTTTTTTGGATCAATTTTCTTGTTTTGCTTCCACCTATCCGATTCCTCTTTACCTCTTTACTCTTTAATGGCTGAAACTCAAAAGATTTTTCCTTTAGGGTAGAGTAGAGGCTCCTAAACAGTAAACCTGAAAATACAATATTTCTAATTATGAAATACAGGGCATTGGTAGACTAATTGGGGAAGTATGTGGAGATGGCATTAGCAGTGACCTTCTCAGGGCCTGCAAATCGTACTAAGCAGATGCCCGTTCCCCCTGTCCTTAGTCAGAGAAAAGAGGGCCCCTTTCCTTTGCTGTCTGGTTCTCAGGAAGAGGGCTGATGCAGTTTCAGAAGGATCTGGAAATGCCTTGAGCACAGACACCAGGCTGGATACTTTTTCTACCTTCCAAGTCTCTTGCCCATGTCCTTTGCCCCAGTTGTGCTTGTTCATTTTGCCATCCCCATGGGACTTGGCTGCTTGTAGCTCTTCCAAGGAAACAACGCAAAGCTTTGATGAGTATTCAGAAATCAGTTGGGGTTCCCCAGAGAGCCAGCACTCCCTCCGAAGGGGATTAGATGGAGATAAGTCATATTTAGCTGGTATCTGCTTGCTCTCAAGGCTTGCTTTAAACTTACTTCTGAAATTCATTCCCCTACACTTTGTCCTAGAACCACAGGACAATAGATGCTCCACCAGCCTGTCTGAGAACCCAAGTTGCCAAAGTGGACATTGATGGAATTTAAACAAAATGTACAGCCTTGACTTTGACCAAAACTATCTTTTTCTCTCTGCACACACGTGCTCACAGGCAGATAGATGCACATGTTCACCCACAAAGGTCGCCGAGGCTTTCTGAGCCCTGCACACATGTGATGGACAAACTCAGCAAAAAAACCCTTGATTATTTGTCATTACTAAAAACCCCTACGTTTGGCTTTTTCTTTCACAATGTTTTGAACTGCCTGAGTGAGCCAAATTCTCCCTTTCAAGTTATCAGACTCAGCAGGTTCAGTAAAATTGCTCCTAAATGGGATGCTGCCTGGTTGAGGGGACTCATGGAACTTTCCAGAAGGAAGAAGAAGCAAGTAGATCAGAGAAGGTGGAATGAAAGACCTTTGACATGTGGACTGCTGAGGCTGAGAATGAGTGTGAATTAGAGAGTCTGCTAATGATGCCGAGTTTCAGGGAGCTGAAAGGATACATGTGCACTCGAATTTGCAGACAGGCTTTGTCTACATAAGCAAATGGGAGGGAGAGATGAAGCAGATATAGGTATTGAGCCATCCTCCACCACAACCTCAACCCCTGTTGTAGCATGAAAGGTCATTTGGAGGAAGAGACTAATTAGTGAAATTGGCCATCTTCACTAATCAGACCAGCCAGAAAATTGCTTTATTTAGCAACAGGCTAAATGTTGTTACTAGGGAAAGTAAAAAAAGGCTAATGATAGTGCTCATCCTGGGATAGCTATAAAAATATTGTTAATGCCACCTCTGAGCTACAGTTCTAACTACAGAAGTAAGGCCATCCCAAATTGCTGTTCCCACAGTAACTACAATTCAATCAGTTCTGCAAGTCTTGTCATAGATGAGGACGATACTTTCTATATTATGGTTGCTGGGGAGAAGCACACTTATTTTATTTATATCCAAGCTGTGGAAAGTTATACTTTATAGTCTTCTCTTTGAAAAAATGGTCATTAGAGACCAACAAAAGCCCTTCTGAATCACTGAAAAGATATGTTTTGATACATGGAAAAACATTCACCCAGCTCAGAGCATCACATTCATAATAAGGTCGTAATGGCCTCCAGGTCTCTCTTCTTCCCTCAGTAAGATCCAAAATTTGGGATTTTGAGCAACATAGCCCTAGCAATTAGGCTACAGGACAAAAAGAGAGAAGATAGTATAGTCCAAAATGTCTTTGGAAAAATATACACTCATCTAAACATTCAGGAGACTTAGTCTGTTATGTTGATGATTGAGTTTGTGATTTTACATGTAAATGGTCCATAAATGTTAGTTTGATTTCAAGTGTTTACTTCTCAGTAGAAAAGAAATCCCTGAATGAGAAGTAATTAGGGAAGCTAGAAATAAGATTAAGGTGTTCATTCCAGTTATGTTTTGGAAAAATTGTCAAATGTCAAAATGTGATAATGAAGTGGGTTGACAAAAACTAGTAATTTCCCACTTAGTTAACATATTTACCCCTCCAGTCCAGAAAATTATCTGATATTGGCACTAAGATGAAATTAACCTAATACTCTTGTTACTATTCTAGGTATCTGTTTTTGGAAATGTGTTAAGCTGGTTGCCTGTTTGAGTAGTAAGTTTTATATAAGACAGCAGAGAGATTAAAAAAAAAAAAAAAAAAAAGATGCCCCTAAACAGATGTGAAACTAATAAGGAAGAGATCAAAGATAAAATCTTTGACCATAGGAGAATATAAACTCATGACTAAATAAAACTGAATCACAGAATTTTTTTCCCTCCCAAAAGTAAGCAGAAAAAAGGGGGAGAGGTTAAAAAAAACTCACTAGCCGGGCTTGGTGGCTCAGCCTGTAATCCCGTGCCTTTGGGAGGCTGAGGTGAGTGGATTGCCTGAGCCCACAGGTTCGAGACCCACCTGGGCAGGAGAGACCTCATCTCTACAATAAAATCAAAAAATTAGCCGGGCGTGGTAGCGCACGCCTGTAATTCCAGCTACTCGGAAGGCTGAGGCGGAAGGATTGCCGGAGCCCAGTGGGTCGAAGCTGCGGTGGCCGGGAGCGGCCACTGCACTCCAGTCTGGGCGACAGAGGGAGACTCCAACTCAAAAAAAAACAAACCTCACTAATTGTAACCAAACCAAAAATGTCATAATCTAAAGTAGTACATTTCAGTAACTGATGGCTGAGTGGCTTTTGGCTCCTAACCCTTTGTCCCACCCCATTAAAGACATATCTGTAGCAAAATAAAATCAAGAAAGGAGATTATGAAGCAAGAAAAGAAAACCATAGACTGCTTCTGTCTGTCTGTAGATGTAAAGCCTTCATCTCTAGGTTCTGAAGTGGAGAAATTATCTAAAGTCTAAGGGGCTCACTCCGTCAGCATGACATATGTTCCAAGTAGGTGGAGTGAATCCTGGTTTGGGTTATTTAGCAAATTCCCAGAAGAATAAGTAGCAAAGACTGAAAGAAAGATGGAACATCTCCTCTACTGACTTCTTCCCCCCCTATTTCCTGTTCCATCAGGCCCCAGCAGAGTAGGAACATAAAGCATCCTGCCCTCAGATTGTTGCTTTCTTGAAAGGGCAAAGAAATAGGTGTGGTCCTATCTTATAAGTGTCTTTGTATATATTCTTAAGAGGTAGTTGCAATGATGTTCATTTAATGCTAATGATGATTATATCTAGGTTGTGAGGCTTTAAAAAATTAATCTTTGAAACTTTCTTCATTAAAAAAATCATTCTAAGTCTGTATGCTGAATGTTTTGAAAACAACCATGTGAATGTTTTTTTAAAAAAACTAGAAAACATAACAAAAATGGGTGATACAGGTATTTGAAATTATTTTCTTCTTGGCACATTTATGTAATTTTTTTAATTTAAAAAATTACCAAATTAGTTAGAGTAAATAAAAGGTGAGGATAAGAAAATATGTGTTTGAAGACATTTTTACCTGCACAAGTCCTTTTGGGAGAGTTGAGGCCAGGTGGTGCCCTCTCTACCAGGTCCTTAAATGGCACTAAAAAATCTCTTCCAGATTCATCTTGATGAGTAGTCATAGAAGTCGCTGCTTTTTGGATGGCTTAAGGGACAATAATTTTTCCACTAAAAGGTGTAGAACAGATTTTGGGTACAGTCTGAAAGATGACAAGAAACAGACACCCTTTGAAAACAGTTACACTTTGGGGCTCAAACACTTTTAACAGCTTTATTGAGATAGAATTCACATATTATAATATGTAACCTTTAAAGTGCACAGTTCAGTGGATTTTAGTATAGTCACCATGTTGTGAAACCATCATTACTGTCTAATTCCAGAATCCAAAAGAAACCCTCTACCATTAGCAGTTCACTCCCAGTTCCTTCCTCCCGCCAGCCCCTGGCCACCACTAAGCTACTTTCTGTCTCTATAGATTTGCTTATTCTGGACATTTTATATAAATGGGATCATACAAATGTGCTCTTTTGTCGCTGGCTTCATTCGCTCAGCATAATGTTTTCAAGGTTCACCTGTGTTGTAGCATGTGCCAGTACTTCATTTCTTTAGCTGAATAATATTCCATTGTATGGATATATCACATTTTGTTTATCCATCCATCAGTTGACGGACATTGGGTTGTTTCTGTGTTTTGGCTATTATGGAAAATCCTGCTATGAACATTCATTTACAAGTTTTTGTGGGACCATACGTTGTCATTTTTCTTGGGTTTGTACCTGCAGGTGGAATTGCTAGATCATATGGTCACGATGTTTCGGAGCTCAAACACTGAAACTGCTGTCTTCCTCTGTTCCCAGGCAGAAATGGTGCACAGTGCTTTCCAGGCCCAGCGGGCTTTCCTTCTGATGGCCTCTCAGTACCAACAACCCCAAGAGGTAAGAGGGTATACTGAGGGCCAGAACTGCCTAGGGCATGGGTAGTGAAAGACAGAAAACAAGGAAGCAACAGAACCATTTACTGTGAGAGACCTCCCGAAAATTAGGCTTGTTATAGTACATATAGCTTCTTTCTCTAATCCAAGTTATGGTGTAGAATATTTCTTCTATCTTCATAATCTAAGTAGACACATTTTGAAAAAAGAAAATATATGCCACTTGCAGAAAGCAAAAGCAATATTTGTCTTTTCACTACTACTATATCATTATGACCAAATTTATGCTGTAACAAAGGTCCATCTATTTGTATCATCTGTATCTTATTCTTTTCTTTGAGTTGGGGGTCTCACTCTATCGCACAGCCTGGAATGCAGTGGCACAATCACGGCTCACTGAAGCCTCAACCTCCCAGACTCAGGCAGCCCTTCTGCCTCAGCCTCTGGAGTAGCTGAGACTGCAAGTTAATAACTAAAAAAAATGGCTACATTTTTATTTTTACTTTCACTTTTTTTGTAGAGATGAGGTCTCACTATGTTGTCCAGGCTAGTCTTCAACTCCTGGACTCAAGCGATTTTCCCAACACAGCCTCCCAAAATGCTGGAATTATAGGCATGAGCCTGTACAGGCATGTTCAGCCTGTACAGTTAAGTCCCCTACATACTGCACTGGGCCCCTATTTTTAATACTTGTCTCATAACCATTTTATAGTCAAGGAAGTGTTTACTACTGATGTTTAGTTCCGACTTTAAGCTGCTTTGTTATCAAAGATTGTTCACATCTAAAATCATCTCTAAATTCTATGTATGCATTTGATGAGCTCCTATTTTATAAGTAGCAAGGATAGGCTAAATCACTGCTTCTCAATTGCCTTGTGTTTATGGATGATCTGAGAAGTTTCACTGCAGTTTCTGATTCATTGGGCCTGGAATGTGCCCTAAGATTCCACTTTTTAATAAGATCTTACATGATGGCCATACTGCGGATTCTCATTCTCAAAGCACCAAAATTGGAGAGAATCTTCATGCATCTATCATTTTTAGGCATATTCCACCTCTTCTTTCTCTGCCACTGTGAAGATGGATGAACATTTCTTAGATTAAAGACATGGGCGTTTGAGGATTTGATGCTAGCTGCAACAATATTACCAATATAATAATTTTAACAGTTTTTAACCTATTATAACATTGCCATTTAAGGCCCAGAGCAAATTTTAATATACAAAGGAATAAAAAATGACCCATGCACAATGGTTCCCAATCCCAGCAATTTGGGAGGCTAAGGCAGGAGAACTGGTTGAGCCCAGGAGTTCGAGATCTGTCTAGGCAACATAGCGAAATCTGTCTCTACCAAAAATTAAAAAATTAGCTGGGTGTGGTGGCATGTCCCTGTAGTCCCAGCTACTCAGGAGGCTCAGGCAGAATGATCACCTGAACCCAAGAGATCAAGGCTGCGATGAGCCATGATCGTGCCCTGTACTCCAGCCTGGGCAACAGAGTGATCCACTGACTCAAGAAGAAAAAAGGATAAGAACGGATGTTACAAGCAAAGTGGTGTTCAGTGGTGGAGGTCCTTCTCATTTCTCAGTCCACTATAAATTTCCCATTCTCGAAACCAAGGCCCACTACCTCCCACCCGCCCACTGACATTGTATTATCCAAAAAACTGTTCTCTCTACCAAGGGCTCATAATAACAACATTTTGAGCATGCTGTTTGTGTAATGAATGAAATTGTTCTCTATAAAGTGGTTCTACTACCAGTTTATATATTTTTTAAGATGTGGGGTACAATTCAGGATTAGGTACATAAGTAGTCATCGTACAGGTGAAGCTTGAACCTCCCTTTGGTCCCCACTTCACCTGGTTTGGGATCAGGTACCCTCACCTCCCTCCCTCTCCTGGCACTTTCCGGCTACTGACAATCCCTTTCTTTTTCTTTCTCTTTTTTTTTTTTTTTTGAGTTGGAGTCTCACTCTGTCGCCCAGACTGGAGTGCAGTGGCCGCTCCCGGCCACCGCAGCCTCGACCTGCTGGGCTCCAGCGATCCTTCCGCCTCAGCCTTCCAAGTAGCCGGAACTACAGGCATGCGCTACCATGCCCGGCTGATTTTTTTTTATTTATTGTAGAGATGAGGTCTTGCTGCCCAGGCGGGTCTCGAACCTGCGGGCTCAGGCAATCCACTCACCTCAGCCTCCCAAAGGTGCGGGATTACAGGCTGAGCCACCGAGCCCGGCTGACAATCCCTTTCTTATAGTATTACGATAAAATGTTCAGGGTCCACTTGTGAGTGAGAACATGTAGTATTCAGTTCTTTGTTTCTGTGATAGATTACTGAGTATGACAGACTCTAAATCCATCCGAGTTACTGCCAAGTCCGTATGTTTGTCCTTCTTTATGGCTGCATAAAATTTCATTGTGTATATGTACCACATTTTTTAAATCCAGTCCACTTTCGATGGACAGCACAGTTGTTTCCATGTTTTTGCTATTGTGAATAGTGCTGCAATAAACATACATATGCAGGTGTCTTTTTTGTAGAGTGATTTGAGTTCTCCAGGTATCTTCCCAGAAAGGGGGGTTGCTGGGTTGGAAAGTTGATTTTTAGATCTTTTAGAAATTGTCCCACTATTTTCACAGAGGCTGTACTAATCTACACTCCCACCAACAGTGGAGAAGCATTCTCTTTTCTCCTCATCCTCTCTAGCCTCTGTTGTTTTTTGCGTTATTAACAATGGCCATCCTGACTGGAGTTAGGTGATATCTCAGTGTGGTTTTGATTTGCATTTCTTTGATGATTAGTGAGGCTGAGCAATTTTTCATGTATCTGTTGGCTGCTCACATATCTTCTTTTGGGAAGTGTGTATTCCTACCTTTTGCTTGCTTTTTAATAGGGCTGTTTGTTTTTTTCCTTTCAGTTTGAATTCCTTGTGGATCCAGCATACTTTTTAAATTAAAAAAACATAAATTTTTTTCTTTCGAGGCTGGGAGTGGTGGCTCAGCACTTTGGGAGGCTAAGGCAGGAGGATTGCTTGAACCCAGGAGTTCGAGACCAGCCTAGGCAACACAGCAAGACTTTGTTTCTACAAAAAAATTTAAAAATTAGCCAAGTGTGGTGGCTGTGTGCCTGTTATAGCAGCTACTCAGGAGGATGAGGCAGAAGGATCTCCTGAGCCCAGAAGTTCAAGGCTGCATTGAGCCATGATTGTGCCACTGTACTCCAGCCTGGGTGACAGAGTAAGACTCTGACTCAAAAAAAAATGTTCTTTTGGATTAAAATTCTGTATTTGAAACTTAACAATTATATAAATTTAAAAACTGAATATTTATTAAGACACAATAGCTTAAATATAACGGCTCACTTTGAATTCTAAACCAAACTCTTGAAACTGAAAAAGTTGAATTGAGAATTCTAGGAATCTAGGACTTTGACCTTCAGGTTCCATAAAGGGCAAGGAGTCACTCTCAGCCTTGCCTGTTTAGTGGAATCACCTGGAAATTTTAAGTATCAGTGCCTGGGTCCCGCCCCAGGGCTTCTGACTTAATTGGCCTGAGGAGTGGCCTTGGCTGTGAGAAGTCTACAGGCTCCACAGGTGATTCTAACTTGCAAGGTACTGTCAGCCCTCACTGGAGATGGATCTATCACTTCCTTCGGTGTGAAGTGAGGAGTTAGCACATAGCCTAGGGAGGAGGTTCTGCAGAGATGGAAACACTGTGGTCACAGTGTGATTCCATTGTGGTCACAGTGTGATGCTTTCTAGGTTCAGCCTTAACCTGCCTTTTCTGTGATTGAAGTAGGAGGAAAGATGGTTCCAACTGAGAGTCTCAGGTAGAGGAAGAACTGTAACTTTCCTTGCTGGTGCTCTACTCAGACCCTCTCCAAGCCCAGAAAAAGAGGCCTCCCCATTGGCCTTGCTGTAAAAAAAAAAAACACTCACTACTATTGGATGAAGATGTGAATGAATGAACAAATGAGTGAATGCATTGAGCTTGTGGCATCCCAGAAAGCCACGGTCAGGGATGCCAAGTGGCTTAGCATGTGACTGTGCCGATTCTTGTAATAACTACAGTTTCCCTCTCTTACTCTATTGTTTTGTTTTGTTTTTCCTTAGAGAGACAGGATCGATCTCTCTCTCTCACTCTCACTCCCTCTGTTGCACAGGCTGGACTGCAGTGTTATGTTCATGGCTCACTGCAGGCTCCAACTCCTGTGCTCAAGTGATCCTCCCGCCTCAGCCTCCCAAATAGCTGGGGCTACAGGTGCACACCACCACACCCAGCTAATTCTTAAATTTTTTTAGAGACAGGGTCCTGCCATACTGTCCAGACTTGTCTCGAACTCCTGGGCTCAAGCAATCCTCCCATCTCGGCCTCCCAAGTTGTTGGAATTACAACCCGGCTCTATCAGAGAATCACTGATCCGGCTCTATCACATTCTTGACAAAAGGGAGACAGATTGATTCCCAGAGATGCATGTGCTGAAAATGTCCCTGGTAGCACTTATCACAGTGCTCCAAGTGCAGTAAGGCCCAGCAAGATCAGGCAGACAAAAGACAGAGCAGTCTTATAATACCCACCTCCTTTTTTGTTCCCTCCCTCTCCTCTTTACCCAGAGCACTGTCCTATTACTACCTAATAGAAAAGCAGATCCGAGAAGTCACCACCGCAGTAGTGAAAATAGTTCATTGGCCAGACCTATATCTTTTCGATGTGCGTCTAGAAGATACATCATAATGAGGATGACCATAATGCATATCATATTTTCTCATGGGAACAATGTCATAACTGTCCATGTCTTCTTTTCTTCCTTCTTTCAGGAGGGAGAGAATTAACTGCTGTTATGTTAACTCTCATGAGCACACAGCAGTGGTTCCCAAACTGCAGTGTTCATTAGAACCCCCTGAAAGGTTGTTAAAACGCAGATTCCTGGGCCTCCCAGGGTTTCCAATTCAATAGGTCTTGGGTGAGCCCCAAGAATCTGTGGTTGTAAAAAGTCCCCACGTTGTG